AAGTGTCGGAGCCGAAGTCGGAACCGAAGGTGTAATAATAATCGGAAGTTCCGACTTAACGGAACCGGAGTCGAAGCTCCGTAACATCCCTGATTTGAAGACATCTACGTTAGCAATTCACGTACAAGACCAACTTGTAAATTATTGCGATTGCCTTAACAAAAAGTTTTGTCTTTAACCACGCTGCTGAACTCACCATGCGATTATTTATTGCATCCAAAGCTTCGCACTTATTCTGTTACACCTTGTAGTGTCGCTAACTTCAGTCAGTTATTGACTGGCTTGCTTCATACAGACGAAGTTGATGACTTACAAGCAATAATCTCTAAGAAACTGAATAATTCAATTTGCAAACCGAAAATAGCTGAATGTCGGTACGGATTCCTTCATTTAAGCAGTGTCAGCGAATGCTCATTAAACAATTTTGCACAGCTGACAGAAAGAACTCCGAGCCCCTTACTAACATTTGTGGAACTACTTAAATGGTATCCTCACATGGACATTCAATTCGGTTTTTATGTGGACGCTTGATGGCATGAATTGTAGGCTAGCACTATGTTATCCTTGTGGGGATAGTGCAGGATGTTGTGGTAAATTAGAAATTTATTTTTAATATTTTTTCTATGCATTCGTTCATACACATGGTTGTTACCCTAATGTTGTACTGTACCTATTTTATTTGAGTTATTAAATTGTTTTTAGATAGAAACATTTAGTATGTTTAGACATACAAAATACAATAAATATTCATTAATCACATATTTAAAATTTCTATTACTATTTCATTCTCCCTGTATCACCCTTGTTTTATTATTTAAATCCTTAAAATGGGAAATTTTTATAAAGAAACATTATCTACCGTTGGATAAGAGAGCCGAAATNTAAATTCTTTTGGTGGAAAATAGGGAATTTAACTTGCATCAATTTTGAACTATTCTGATGTCAAACAATCAAATAATAACCGTCATTTATTTATAAAATTTTTTTTAGTTCATCTTATCGTTAATGTTTACAACACAAAATATAGTAGTTGCAATTATATTATGACAAAAACATTGAAGGATAAAGTACAACTGATCAATGCATATTTAATAAATAAATTACTGCATTGGTGGTGGAACAGGTAAGACACCACCAACCAATGAAGGAGGAGGAATAGGATTAAACATTGGTGGCCTAGGGGGCGGAGGGACAGGTAACATAGGCGGAGGGGGTACAGCACCCAAAATATTTGACCCTCTTGCAATTATAGTGCCTGGTTTCTTTGTTTCATTTTTAAAAGCAAATTGCAGGAAAAATTGTTTAGTATCTTTATTCCAATGGGTCCAGAATTTGTTGTCAGTTTTTTCTACTTCACGACTTGGAACTTTAAAAGCAATTGTTTCATAGGGCTCTGCAGCAAAAAGTAAATACTGCCACTTGCGATCTGGTGGCTCAATCTTTTGTTCATAAGCTGACATAAACCGATGTCTTGGCATAACATTGTCAGCTATTTCAGGATAGTCAATTTGAAAAAGTAAACTTTGTTGCCCTGTTTCTGGATCTCTTTGTTTTGTTACACGGTAACCAGGTCGACCTATTTTGATAAATTTCTTTGGCTCTACTCTAGGCTTCTCAGGAGCCAACTGTGAAGGTGCATCTTTTGCTTCCTTTGCAGCCCTTCTCGCTAAGTTTGCCTGATGCTTTTTGCCTTGAGTATGAGCTAAATAACTGCCCTCATTATTGTGAAGTGTTAAACACAATTTACATTCATATGATCCAAGATGATTTTTCATAAAATAAGGATCTTTTTGTAAATCAATAGTCTCCAACGCTAATTGGCGAAGACGTTCTCGTCTATCTCTGTTAGTTTCTGACCAAGATGCAACCCCTCCGCCTCCTGTTTTTCCTCCTGGGCGATTTTGAAAATCCATGTCTTTATATGTATATAACCGCTTTAAATCAGGTATTCACACTCTAATTCAGCACTTGAATTAACTACAAACAAAATTAAATAAAAAAAAATTAAACAGACAGATTTTAAAAAGAAACTTACAGAACTACCTAAAAACTAGTCTATCTGACTTATTACAATAATATACAAAACAGTATATATTTCTTTAATCTATGGGCGATTCTAAAAATCGCGGAATCCTCGGAAGCATTCAGCCTATTTCGAGGAGCTCCAGTTGCGCGAATTTTGATCAATGGTTATAAACGTTCAAAACGTCAAAGGCGAAACACATACAGGTCTGACGAAGGAAGCTGGCGAGCGGTCGCGCAGGTACTTGCCCATTTATGACCTTGGGTAAGTCACTTAGAACCGATAGTCACGTCTATCTGCCGTTTGTGAGTTCGCTTCTACAATTTAAGTTTCGTTCACTTAAGAGGTGATATCCGCTGAGCAGTTGTTTTTAAAATAAATTTACAAATAGGTACAAACTGCTCCAATTTGTAAATGGTGCAGCTATCATATATGTATAGGTTTGGAGATGTATATGTATTAATGACGTTATTGTATGGATATTAAGTATAATTTATGATAAATATATTCGATAAAATTTTGGTTAGCACCATCGCTGAGCTTGCANTCCTCGGAAGCATTCAGCCTATTTCGAGGAGCTCCAGTTGCGCGAATTTTGATCAATGGTTATAAACGTTCAAAACGTCAAAGGCGAAACACATACGTCGTGAGAGAAATGGATGTTGTTCGAAACCTCGTTCCATCTCTTTCTTTTGTTGTACCATAATTCTGACCGCTAAGGCATGTCCTTTAGGGTAAAACTTCCGAATCGCGACTTTTTCGAAAATGCAACTTTTTTTTTGCTGAAAATGACGTAAAATGGCCTAATTATGAAAAACTTACATGAAATAATCCGGGGGAGGGTCTTTTTAACGCTTTTTTTGCAAATTTATATTTGTAGATCGCACGTCAAAGTTCACACCTCATTTTCATAGTCGCTACCTCAATTTTCATTAATAATTCAACTCCTGTAGTACGGGTTTTAGTTAAAGAAGGTGTATTTATAAGAAACTCATAAGAAAACGTCGAAGGAAAGGTGTTTTAATGCTTTTTTCGGTGCAAATAAGTGATTTATAGGTATATAACCTTAAAAATTTCATAGTCATTTATCATACGTCATAGTCACGTCTATCTGCCGTTTGTGAGTTCGCTTCTACAATTTAAGTTTCGTTCACTTAAGAGGCGATATCCGCTGAGCAGTTGTTTTTAAAATAAATTTACAAATAGGTACAAACTGCTCCAATTTGTAAATGGTGCAGCTATCATATA